TTATCATTATAAACTGTTTGATCCTTAGTTCCACCAGTCCTAACTGTCACAGCTAAGCCACGCGTATTGTAGCAAACCACCCTCATTCCCTTCATATTTTATTAGTGAGATGTAAGTTTCACTCAAGCATCTTCTTCCCACCAACTGCTGCTTTGAGGAGCCAACTCCCAAGAGGATGCTTCCACAATCACTACTATCTTAACCTGTTCATGTCTAAGGTTGTCTTCCCCATATATGCACATCAACTGTGCCTCTTACTCTAACCCTCTACCTTGAGTGGTTCTTGGGCCTTGTACAGAATCAACATTATTATAAAAAAAGATGTTATTGAGCATATCATTTCACTATAATGCCTCCATGTAACATGTGAAATAAATGACTATCAAAATATTTAAACCTCTCAAATGTTTTTAATCATGATAATTTTGTTAATAGCATTTTGCCACATACAGAAAATTCTCAAAGAAATGAGTGTGTATGATGCAGAGAAGCAAAAGAAAGGGACTTGGCCCACATGATGCCAGGTGTCATTGATAGTAATATATATATATATATATATATATATATATATATATATATATATATATAGTGTCTTACCATGGAACAATAGTTAACAATCTAATCTTGTACATGCAAACCATTATTTCTGTTAAGTTAATTCTAGCCTAATGTGATTTCCTACACTTGGGCATCTTGTACCCTAAACTCATCTTAAATATATGGCAAAGGAATATATTGCAGGGAGATTGTTGTAGAGTAGTTTTCACAGTGGAGGCTTGTATTTCACTAAGTCGGTCCTAAATTAGGTTCGACGTACAAAACGTTAGGAACTTGAAATAATAGTTAATGACGCAGCAATCTGGTTGTGATGGTTGATACTTCAATGTCCGACATCGACTGACTCACTCAACTCCACTGAGCCCAACTGGTGACTGCTACTACTACTACTACTACTTATTATGTGTGGGAGAGTCTATTAATAATAGAATAGGTATGATCTAGTATAACAGATACAGATTCATATCTTTTTCAAGAACACTAGTGGGAAGTGAACACAAATCGACTTGACAAAATTTGAACTTAGTTTACTAATTTTGTTTTCTGCAGTAGTAACTACTACACCTTCTTGTACCTTATCTTGATGAAAGGTTTTGTTACTGGCATATCACAATGTTTGATGGAAAAAAGAATAGAGTGAGTGAGCATGGAGCAAATCATGTTCCATTACTACCTTACCTTCCTGAGAAATGATAATACAAAGCTGTTCTTAACCTTGTCAGGCACACACACACCTTCATAACAGCATGACACTCATTATAATAGTTTAGTGATTAGCTACTTCAAATACTGATTAGTGATTAGTTACTTCAATAATTAAATAAGATTAATTATAGGAACATTTTATAGTACATGAAATAAAGATGGTGAAGAAGAGTACATGCACAGATAACAGACCAACTGATTTGCAATGCAAATATAACATTTATTAAAACAAAATTAACAAAAGTAAAGTTTAGAACAAGAGTTTCTTTTGTAAACTGTATACATAATGAAATGCTCATTAATATGTTATAGTGGGAACTTACTTTGTTGGTGTGTTTTAGTGAAAAGCATTCACAGCTCTTGTAGCTTCATCATGGAAAGTTCATATCAGCAGTTCAAAAGAGATAAAACCTGGAAAGATAATGTTACTTTAGGGTTCATGTGTTTTATATTCAAGAGCTGCTGCTGATAAGTTTTATTTTAGAGCTGCTACTGCTACTATCTTTAGGTTAAAGCTGCTACTGCTACTACCTTTAATGTCACTACAATAGAATCATTGAAATTCATAAAATGTTATAATAAAGAATGTTATTAGCAAAGGGAGAAAAACTGCTAAGAGCCACAAAGAATAAGAAGTTGTGGAGAATCATGATTGCCTATGTCCTAAAGGAATGTAGCATGTAGAAGAAGAATATAAGAAAAATACCAACAAAAAAATACAAAATTAACTGACACATTGTGCTAACTTTAAATTTGTGATGAATTAAAGCAAGTAAAATCAAGTTTTTCTTCTCTGTGTGTGTATGTGCACATGTATACTTTTAGGAACTCCTAATGCCCACTTTCTCTGGACTGCTTTCACTTTTACATTCTGTGTGCTAATTTGGTTGAACCACTGCCAAATAAATATTTCTAGAAGTGAATGCTAAAGTACTTATATCACATATTTGATGCCTCAAAGAATTCTTCGAGGCCAAATCCTTTTGCCTCTGACCAGTTGACCTGGGAGGCCATCTATGATGTACAGGTTTCTATTCTTTGCCTAGAGCCCAAAATTTGGCTTGGTTCCATTGTAAAATTTTGATTATTGTGTGGGTTACTATTGAAGCTATGCCTACATGTGGACAAGAAGAAAAAGAAAAATTGAAGATTACAGCTTATTATTTACTTGCTAACTCCTTTTACTTTCCAAAATATATTTTCATGAAGATACAATTAAGATATAGTCTTCTGCTTTCTTTTTGTTTTTTTAAGAGGTGATAAAAGGACTGACTTGTTTTATTATGTATTGTTTACAAATCATTATTCTATTTATTGTGGGAATTTTTTGTCAGTAGTGTCATTTTGTTAGAATATTTTAATTCATTTAACCTTAAACAATTTATTCTTCATTCGCAGTACATGTGAAAATTTCCTGATTTTATATTTTAATTTTCTGATGAATCATAATTCTTAAGTTACTGAATGAATAAACTCATTGAGAGTTCCACAACTATAAAATGCCCATCAATATTCCACTATTGTATCATTGAATATTTAAACTTAAGAACTTTTAACAATTATTGCAATAAAAATCATAAGTATGAATACAGGTCATTATTTAAAGAAGTAAGAGGGTACAAATGAAAAGCTAACATGGTTTTCAATTTCACTGAAGCCGATGTTAAATGCATGAGAGCATTATCACCTGTTCTATCTTCTCTTTCTTTCTTTTTATTATTATATATGCTTTCTTTTTCTTGCTAAAACCAAACAGCATTTCTGATTTGTCTTTTTCTTCCATCTTTTGTCACAATGAAAATGGAATGGGCTATTATTTTTCTGAGGTAATGGCAAGGTGTATCTCAAATGCTCACTTACTAACAAGCAGAATTATAATATGATTGTTATCATTTGTGTTGTAGATCCTGTAAGTTTTCTATTGTATCATAATTCAATTTATTTCTAAACAGGTTTGTAGCTCAATGTAATCCATTATCTAAAACTTTGTGAAGAGTCATTAATGTTTCAAATTTTGTTTAGACAATTGATTTTTTTTGTTTTCAATATTGTTATCATAATATTTTGGCCAATCAGTTCTTCAGCTTTCATCAAGCCCATAATCCATTCAAAAAAAGGAAATTCTCTCTGATGGATTATGCACCTGATGAAGGCCTAAGGGTTGATTGGTTGAAACATTATGATAACAACATCATGACTATAAAAAAGGAAGCAATAACAATTTCTCTGATGTCTATTTAGTCTAAATTGTTGTTTTGGATTATTTTATGGAAAAATGTTTTTATTAAACATTGATTCTTTCATACAGGTCTCCTCATCTTTGTCATGCTATTTCTGTTGCTATACTATGAATGTTACCGTTGGAGAATATCAAATAGAAACTTTTATTTCCTGAATGTTATCTAACGTGATAGCCATCTGAAGAAGGGGCAGGAGTACAGCAGCCAAAACATTTTTACTAAAAACAAAAAAAATCTCAGAAATTCAGACAGAAAATGCCAAAATAATTAACTTCTTAGATCAAGAAGACAAAACCAAATTACATAATAAATTAATTTTTTAATTAAGTTCTGTTTCAGTTTAGTAATACTGTTTGTAGATTTGATAAATTTAAACCAGAATTAATTTGAATTTGTTTTTTCTGTCATGTTTTTACCTGTTTCTAATCATCTTAACCACTGATCAAGAAAATTTATTTTTAACATTACATACTGTTTATTTTCATGGAGTGGCTAACACTACAAAAGTGATGCAATAGCAGCAACTACTTTCAAATAGCTCTTTTCATGATTCTGCTTATAAAGTTCTCTTCTAAGTTACTTATATAAAAATTAAAAGTTAAATATTATATAAATATAATTAACTGTGAAGCTGCAATCTTGTTAAAAGTCCAAACTTGTAATTCTGAAAATTCTAAAACTACCAAGTTATTTTTTAAATTTCATATGTATTCCAAAAGATGTTTGAACTACTGAACTCATTCTTGGTGTTGCTTTTTGTTATTACCATATTTCAGTCAAAATAAGTAACAACCAGAAATGAAATACCAGGATATTAGCCAGTATTATTTTTCTGTTCAGCAACTATTTCTGCAAGAAATGGGACCATTCTCTTTCTTTTCAAATTGTACATTTGGAAACAGCTTTAAAATGGATCAAGCGAAATGCTTTGTCAACAATAAAAGCAACACAAAGAATGAATTCAATAGTCTGAATAACTCCTAGATTAATTTTATTTTTTTTAGTTAATTTTATATGAGAAAACTAATCCAAAATAATCAATGATTAGTTTCATAAATTATAAACCTGAAGGAAAGTCCTTATAGAATTTAACTATAATGACATTTATTCAATTTAAATATTATCTTGGGTGTATAAAGTTTTATTATAGTCATTAAAAGAGACATTTTAAAACAATGAGCAAGGAAGAAAAAAAAAGTGTTCTAATTACCATAGACAGTAAATTGAAAATAAAAAAAAAAACAAACCAACAAAATCTGACTGGTTCTTGTTCTTCACTCTTCAGAGTTTGTTTGAGAACTAAAAGGAATGTACAAAGAAGGTTAATAAAAGACAATATATATATATATATATATACACATATATATCAATAATGATAACTGTCTACTCAATTTTGAGTATGAACACTTTCTTTCATGTAAGAAAGTACCTGTAACAAATTCTAGTGATAGACACTTGTACATCATGAATACCACTGTTTACCTTGTTTTTCTTCAGGCTATGGAGTAGAGTATGACTATATAGATCCACGTCAACTGAAGGCATCTTTGGAGACTCTTCATATTGGGAACCTATTCTTTGCTGGCCAAATTAATGGAACTACTGGCTATGAAGAAGCTGCTGCACAAGTACTTTCTATTCTATTACCATTCATTATTTTATATTATTATTTTTTTATATACAATACAAATTATTTACTGCTCACTTTTAGGCAGATATAACTAAGAAAAAAATGTCAATTTTCTTCTTTCAATTTTCTCTCCTTCCACTACTGCTTTTTATCTATTAGTTGGACGTTATCCAAGAGTAGGTAGTGTGAACTTTATTTTTCTAAATTCTACATTTGAGGAAGGCTATAAAATAGACCACCTGAAGGTCTTGTGATCAAGGAACTCTCTAGACATTTTGTCATAGTTTTCTCCTTTGATCATTTTTTATATCAAAATTCTAGTACAAACATTGTCCATACCCATATCCACTGACCAGTGTTACAGAAAATGAACCAATAAAAACATAATGACAATAATAAATTTTTTCATTGACAGCAAAGATTGTAAAAATAAACATTTTTAGTTATAAATTTCATTTGTTTCCCTATAAAAAGTTATATTGTCTGTAGCAGCTCTTTACAGTGTACATGTTGCTCTTGAACAATGCTGAAAAACTTTCTGCAAATACAGTGCCGTTTGATAAAAGTGACTCACCTGATTTTTTTTACTAAATGTTCTCTTCTCCAATGAAATGAAAGTTGAGCTAAATTCAAAGGATAAGCGATCTAAAATCTGAAGAAGCTTTGAAAGCTCTTCAAATTTAGCAGTAAGTACTGTCAAGCATCTGTTCAGTATAATGTTCTGGGGATGCTTTTCTTTTCATGGAACTGGTTTCTTAAAACCTATTGAAAAGACCCTCAGGAGTGAGCAGTACAAGAGAATTTTACAGTCTTGTCTTCTCCCTTCTGCTGAAAGGGTGCAAATCAACCCCACCAAGCTCATTTTTATGCAGGATAATGCTCCCTGTCCCAAATCAAAATTGATGAAGGAATAATTTCATGAGAAGCAGATGAGTGTTATGACATGGCCGCCCCAATCTCCTAACCTCAATCCCATAGAATACTTATGGAGCGTTATAAAGTACAGGTTCTCGAGAAAGCAGTTGAGCAACAAAGAAGATTTGATTGTGAATTTTATATTTGAATGGAACTCAATGCTTGGAGATGAGATTTGCCAGAACCTAATCAATGCCAAAAAGGGTTGAAAAGTTTATTCAAAATAAAGGAGGACCCATAGATTATTAAATATTTCAAACTATATTACCTATTATAAAGAAATTATACCTCTATTAATCTTTATTTAAAGCTGTTCAGTTATGTTTCTATTGATTACTAGTTGCAGGAAATAAGTGAGTCAATTTTTTTTGCACAGTTTTTCCCGAAATCTCATTTATATCCAAAATTATAATTATCAATAGAATACCTTAGAGTGAGTAAACTTTTTCACTAGGTGGTCAGGAAAGGGTCTTTATATTAGTAAGATTACAAATTAGTTTGACCCCAAAAACAATAGGCGAAAAAAATTTTAAGTAAAAAAATCAGGTTAGTCACTTTTATCGAACAGCACTGTATATTGTTTGAAAACATCATTAGGATGTCTACATAAAATTATTTTTCATCAAAGGTCTAGAACTTTTCAGAATTATATATATTCAGCAGTTTCACATAAATAGCACATGAGTTCCCCATCAATACTAAGGAATTGGTTTATTGTTATCATAATTAGCAACAATGCAAGTTTTGACCTCTTGTGTGGAATGAATGGATACTTCAAATAATAAAGAATAAGCCTTAACAAGTAACTAAAATGTCTTTCAGAATTTCTTTTTTTGAAGTTTAATTTCTTTTTGAAAATAAAATCACTTTAAAAGAAAAAAACATTAATATTCATTGTAATTTACTAGTTGTTTTATTTAATTACTGATAAATTTATAGGGGATTATTGCTGGAGTTAATGCTGCATCCAAAATTCAAGAGAAATCCCCATTGATCATTGACCGATCTGAAGGTTACATTGGGGTCATGATCGATGATTTGACCACTCTTGGCACAAATGAGCCATATCGCATGTTCACTAGCAGAGCTGAATTTCGGTTGTTTCTTCGACCAGACAATGCAGACATTCGACTCACGGAAAAAGGTTAGTTTTTGTTTTCTTTTAAATTTCATTTAACAACACACAATTCATTTAAACATATATTGTTAGAAGTAATGGAGATTTTCTTTTGTTTATATTGATGGATCTTTTTTTTATAATCGACAAATATCCTTTCACAAATATGATTGTGTATGCAGATGAATTGGCCAATACAAATTTTGACCAATTCAACCACACACAACAACCACATTTGTGAAAGGATATTGATAGACTAGAAAAAAAGATCAATAAGTATAACAGGCACAAAATGTCTATTGTTTTTAACAGTACATCTTTAAAAAAATCACTGCTGCCCAAATATACTGAATTTAAAACTAATGCTATATGCCAAATATTGTTTGGACAGTTGAACCTCGATTTCATATATTTCATTTGTTTCAGCCCTCATCAGGTATATTCCTAGAGCTGAAAAATGGACTAGCCAAAACTTTGTGCTAACAACAGCAAATAAAAGAAGGAATTCAATTTTCCAAACATTATCTGCTATGTCAATGACCCTTTTCAAAGTTAAAGACTGTGTTATTTTTTGTAATTTTCAGGATTTCATCAAGGTTGTGTCAGTCAATACAGATATGAAAAGAGCCAAAAGATTCAAGCAAATTTGAAAGAAAATATCGAATGGTTAAAAACAATTTTTAAAATATCAAATGAATGGAGAGAACAGATGAACCTTGCACCTTCATTAAACAAACAAAAAAGGAGGTTTGTTGGTTTTCAAATTTTATAAATATGCAAAAACTATCTTTATAAAATATTATTCTTTCAACATTACAGCTGATGCCAGATATTTTTTGATGTATTTTATTTAACATCTTAGTCAGTCAAATAAAATATAAATTCACTATTGATATTTTCTTATTATTCTCCTTTAAATGCTATGTTCCTTTGTGATGTAGGTGATCATGGCTCCCCACAGTTTCATTTTATTTAATATCTGTAAACATCACATTGCTATGTTTGTTCTTGGGAAAGATAGTGGAGTAGTTCCTCATTACCTTCTCCACAGTTTTGAATTCAGAGTTGTCCTAGATTTGTTGCTAACAAAGGCTAGATAACTCAATCTCCTTTGGCATTTATAACCCATGTCTGGGACAATAGGGGAAAGGATGGGTTCATGCCTTTCCCAAAAGTAGGTGTGTGTGGAGTGAACATAAACTAAGATGGAATTAGAATTGGGTTTGCCAATTCCATTTTTTATGTTGTTAAATGTTAGTCCACTCACACCACCATTTGTTTATTTTGAGTTTCCCAAATCCTTTATTTTTTTATTTATTTTTATGAATATTAAAAGAAAAATAGTTGTTTTTCCTACATCCTAATAGTAATTATATTAGTACCATTAATTAGTTCATTACTTTTCTGTAAAAGTATGATTGTCTTTTTTGCTTTTTTCATGTTTACAGTGCTTTTCAAATGATCTGTGACCCCCAGATTGATGCAGGAAAACTAGCCCAAGCATTTCCAGATTTATTTCAACATTTACTTGGGGAAACAACACTTCTCGAAAGACTTTCTATTGAAGGTAATTGTAAACCAACTAAATGTATTTAAAATAGATAAATGGACAAAACAAAAGTTTAAAAAAAACAATTTAAGAAATTATTGCTTTTTCTTTTCCTTTTTAATAAGTGTTTTTATAACATTATTTTTTTTTTCATAATTGATTAATCTTGAACTTTTACAACAGCTTGTGTTTTACTACTATTAAGAATCATGCTAATATTGCCAGAAAAGATAGAAGATGAGATGAGTTGAGATTCTGTCTTCAACCTACTCATTTTAATATTTACACATCATTCATTCAGCTTGAGGTGTAGTATAATATAAGAATTATTATATATAAATAGTAGATAAAAGAAATGAAGAACTCATTCTCAAGAAGTGTCTCTAGTTTAAGAAGAATCATCATTCCAAAAATTGTTCAAAAGTACAACACACTGGTCTGACTTAAGCTCCTATTTGATATTAATATACACTGCTTCCTTTGATTTTTCTCATTCAATGTTCCCTATCTGTTATTTGAACCTCATCACAGAGAATATAATATAAGCTATTCTCTCTCCAGACATGGCTTGCTATAGACTTTTCTATTTTCCCTCCAGATATGGCTTTTTCTGTTTCTTGGGTATGGCTTTAAAGTTTTTGTTGGTTTCCAGTTTATATTCTTTTTCTATATTTGCAATCTTTGTCAAATTCCTCTCCTGTGAGAGACCATTTCTAAAAAGGAGATTGCAAAAGTAGTTGTGTGTTTTCTTTTCTATTCACTACTAGAAAACAAATCACTCTTGTTCTGTGTCATCTCTGGGTCCTCACGCTACTACATAAAACAGTTTCAATGAAAAGGACTATTTCTTTTTGTTATTTTTTATTAGAGAGTGGTAACAGTTTGTATTCTAAGAGGCAGTGAGAGGAATGATGTCAAAGAAATACATGTTGCATGTTAGCTCAGTGTCTCTCCACACATGGTCTTAGTTGGTCACTAATCTGGGTGTGGGAGGCAAATCAACACTTCAGAATTCTTGCGACACTCTGTTGATTTTGCACTGTTTTGGATTTAATTCCAAAACCCAGACAAAGACAATCCATCACTGTCACAATACCATGCCCACCAGGTACTCCAGCCAATCACTCTTTTGTATGGTATTGGTAATATTAGCCATTTCCTTATAATTAAACATTTGGCATTCATTGAGCAAGCAACCAGCACTGCTTTCAGTTGAATTCTTTCTATTAAAACAATTTTTCATGAAAATAGGTTTCTCAAATCCAGTAATTGTTATTGCTCTTTCCATTATTGATGGGAGCTTTCTTCCTAACCTTTTATTTCAAGTAGTGTGAAATGTCAGTATCTTAATTATGTCATTATTTTCTCTTCAAATTACATATGCTAACCATTTCAGTTTTTGCTGCTATTGAAAATCCTCAAGTGAGGTGGTTTCTGTTATCTAGTACAGTTCTTTGTTTGTGATTCTTTAGCGACAATCCACAAGGTTCAAAGAACAATGGTCCTTGCTTAGACCTACATGCTTCACTCACTCAAAACTATTTTTTAACCATTGACCTGTCAAAACGATTGTATACAGCTGACAATTTAGACATTTCTGAATGAGTCTGGTGCTATGCATGGCATCTATATAAAAATCTCAATTTGACAAAACAATTTAAAAACATGACAGGTTTTTAGATTAATGTTTTAGTTTTATAACAGCCTGTGGTGTTGTGTGAAACTACCCCTAGCACAGCCTGTTCTATGTTCAATTTACTTATACTGTTCAAATTCAAGTTTTTAAATTTAAACTTCATCTTAAAATTTCATAATTTGTAAGCTTAAATATATTTCTTAAACTTAAAAAAGACTGACTAATGTTTTTACAACAGTAGAATACAATCTTCAGTTTTCATTTTCACAATTTTAAGCTTTAAATCATAACAACATAAATGTTTGTCAATTATTGACCAATCAATGCATCTTAAAGGCATTTTAAGAGTTTTGTTTTTTGTTAATTATATTTATTGAAATAGTAAAATATGCCAGAGATTTGCAAGAACAGTTGGAAGATATTGAAGAGGTACGGCAAGATGAGATGCTGGAAATTCCTGAGGATCTTGATTATTACAGGTAATGATGAACATTTTGTTTTTTATAAACATTTTCAAAATTGTATGTTTTACTCTTATCCTGATCATTATTTTTTATTTAAAAACTTTTTTTATCCAAATAATTCAGATATTTGTTTGCATCTTGTTTAACAATCTTGTTTAACATTTAGGATAAGAGATGTAACATGCTCTCTTTTCCTATTCTATCTTTACAAAGTAAATTTTTGTAAATGCATACATATTTTACTTGAAAAATATATCATGATATTAACTTTATCTGAATACTGAGTTCTTCAGAACAATAACCAACATTTTTTTATAATAACAGATCTTGTATGAAGTGAAATTATGTCCTGTCACAGTGTTTTTGATTACAAAATAAATTCTGGGTTTCAAGCTAATTACAAAAAAAATTAATATCTCTTACTTTTGTCAATATGATTAACAGAATCATGATCATAATTCAGTGTAAAAGCCTCAGCCTGGAGTAATAATTAGTGAGGTTAGTCTGGTTGAGTAGTGAGTTCAATTCTTGGTAGGTGTTCCATACAAAATTTGACAGGAAATGATCCAACAAGGGTTGATATTTAAAATCAACCAACTAAATACATATAAACTTATAACATTTGCCATGAAATAACCCAACAAAGATTGATTTAATGGAAATCAACCAACTTAACTAAATAAGTACGTTGGCATAGGGTAATGAGTTAACAAAGCTAGTCTGGTTGACCATTACTTCTGAGTAATGAGGTTGATCCTCACTAGGTGCCTATTAAAATATGTGAGATATTTTAAAATCAATCAGTCAACTAACTAATTTGAGTGCTACAAATTACCTTTGTCAACTCAGTGGTGAAATTAAGGTATGTGCAAGTGATGTGGGTAAACAAATTTCTTTTGCTGTCAACTATTCAATTGTCTATCATATCTAGTATTGATCCCATGTAGACATGGATCTTTTCATTAGTTTTTAAGCTTGGAGACTTAATAAAAAAGAAAACTTACATAGATTTTTTTATTTATTTTCTCTAGATTAAACATTGCCAATGAAGCCAAAAATAAACTCATAGATGCCAGGCCAAGAACTGTAAGTACTTTATTATTATTATAATATATGTTTGCATGTTGACACTAGATGTGTAGTGATTATAATTAAATATTGAGTGACAGTAAGTTTTTCTCAAATCAATGTAGTGGTATTTTCAAATTTTTTGGCCTTTTTATTTTCACCTTGTGGTCTGATGGCACATCCATTTTTTTTAAATACCATGTCTCTTCAAGGTAATCATAACTCTCCACAGATTCTTTTTCTTTATTATTTGTGAATCGCCATGCCTTCTTGAGGAAGTGGTTTCTCATTGCCTTATCTTAATCCATTTTCAACTCAAAGCTAGAGAGTCTAATCTAGCCCACTATTTAATCCATAGTGGGAGAGAGAAAAACATTTGTAGTAAAAGTAAATGCAACTAACTAAACCAGAATTTTAACTCAGCTTGTCAATTTCACATTTCGTGCTATTAACAGACTACTTGCAGATATGATACAATCATTTCTTTTGTTAAATGGAGAAGTTGTTTGTGAATAAATTGTAACTAAACTTATAGTGTCATTTCTACATTAGCTATGGTTTCATAAAAATATATTATCTTTTGACTGAATTGTTTTTAACAGGAAACAAATGTATGTTTCCAGGCACAGTTTACAGTTTAATTCATCTAATTTGAATGTTTAATTTAACTTGGACAAAAGAAATTTGTTAGAGTATGTATATTGTTAGAGTATGTATAGTTATGTATATGCTTTGATTCAAAGAATGTTGACTAAATTGGCCCTAAAACTTCATGAGGATTGATTTTGTATTAATTTACTCACCGTAACTACCATGTCATGACTCTCCACCTCTTCCTTTTCTTTTGTTTTCTTAATATCTATAAACTTTACATTGATCTGATTGTTTTTGGAAAAGATAGAGGGATTTCTTGTTGCTTTTTCCACAGTTTTTAATTCAGAGTTGTCCTTCTCTTTGACTGATTATCAACCAAAGCCACAGAGCCCAGTCAGCTCTGTTATGTAACCCATAACTTTGACAAAGAGGCGTTATATTCATACATTTCCCAAGAGCATTTGTGCAAAAATTATTGCAACAGCCTCAGCTAGAATTTTAACTTGGCTCACTAATCCCATTTTTCACATTGTTAACCATTAGTCTATTCTTATCTACATTTTATTTACTTCCTGTCTTTAAAATATTTATGGAAAAATTATGTTCTAGTTAATTTTTTCTGCCATTGGAGTTGGTGGTTGTTGAGAAACTTGTTGGATTTTCCTTACTGTGCTCGGTAAACAATAATTATAAAAATATTTTAACAATAATAAAAACATCCTTGGCAAAAATAGTGATAATACAATTAAAATAATACTAATATCAGCAAATTATAAAATACAAATAAGTAAGTAATTTTTTAATCAAGGATTATAAATGTATTATATGACTTCAGATGATGCCAAAATAGACTTTACAGTCAGTGTTATACCAGACATTTAGGGAGATTAGATACATCAGTGGGTTGGCTTGAGAGATGACCTCCTAACTACCAGGTGCAAATCTGTATCTTCATTAGATGTAAGTAGCTGCCCCTGATATCTAAACAACTGCCCAACCCAGCTGTGCAGGAAATGTGACACCTGCTGCAGCTGATGACAGTGAGGGAAAAGAAGAGTCTCTGATATTCTCAGGGGTATGTAGAATTCACATTCAAAGAACACCCTAAAACCACAAACCATCATCTATTGACAAAGTCTGGAATTAAATAAACAACAATTTTACTTAGAATTTTAGTCTTGTGTTCTGATTAGACTATACAACAACAACATTATATAAATAATAATGATAAAGATGAAATAATCAAGTACACCGTAATATAATAAAAGTCAGTTGATAGTATTAGGTGTGAACAAAAATTCACAGCAACCCTTTTGGGAAAAACAGAGATTAAGTGCACTGTAGAAAATTTTGTTCTTTTTTTTTAAATACACACAGTGGAAAATTGTGCAATTGTGAAGAGAGAAGATAACGATTGATATTACATTTAAATTTTTGAACATCAAAGCTGACTGGGAAACAAGAAGATGGAAGACAGTCCCATAAGCGAGAAGTATGATAGAAGAAACTAGTATTATACAACTTACAGTTACATCTAGCCATTTCTGACTTCAAAGCTGTGTCTGGTGGGGATGCTACAACCATATTGTTAGAGGTGATCAAACAGAATAAAAAGAAGAAACTTCATCTCTTATTTAATCTTTCATTTAATATCTAAATAAAGAACACATGATTACAACTACTGAAGTCCATGTTTTGATTTATCTATACCCAGGTTTCTTAACAGGTGTTCCCACAGAACCTTGGGGTTCTGCAAGAAGCAGTGATAAATAAGCTCATGCATTTTTGAGGAATTCTTGTTTAATTTTATATTCTGAATTTGACTATACATGTACAACATGTTATTGGAAAATCCTTGGTTATTATAATAAAATATAAAAGTGATTATAATATAAATTATATAATAAATTTTTATGCAGGCATTCCCTGAGACATGAAAATTATTTTAAGAGTTCCACAAAGGTAAAAAGATTGAGAAATGCTGGTCTACACTATGCTAATGAGACAAGATTATTGTCTTGCAAAATCTTTTTATTTTATTATTTTGGTGCTGTATCCAGCTTCTTCATAAAATATTTAAAATTTAAAATAATACTGATTATAAAATAGTTTTTAAATTACTGCATTGATAAGAGTTTATTGTAGGCATTTTTACATTTTTTGTGCATAATAATAATATTATAAGTGGGTAGAAATCTACTTCAACAAAAGCAAGACTATTACATTTTGAAGTAAATAATAAACTTCAATAGATGACCAATGCCAAACTAAGGTCTTCAATCACTCTTTTTGACTCTTTCATTTTAGTAGACAACTTCTTTCACATTTCGGCCATCATACACTCCAGCCTTTTTTATTTGGAATTACAAATTAATTAAAATTAATATAAAAAATATAAAAATTTGAAATTTATTTTGTATTCTAATTCATAATGTAAGGTTGGTTTTGTTAAGTATTGTATTGCTTCTTGAAGTGTCCTTTATTTACATTCTATGGATAATTTTGTTTGAATATGAGATTTCATTAAAAATGCCATAAAATTTGAAATGCTACATTGTAACCAATGTATTACTATCTGTTAGCATTTCATTTCCATTCAAATTTGAATTCTCTTTTTCAGCATAATTTCATTGGCTTAACTCGTATCAACAACTTCTCATATGTTATTTTCTTAACTTTCCTCTTCCTTTGTATCTGTGTAATTTTGAATATACTCCTTTCTTTCATTTGTCTTTTTTTCTTTCTATTCTCTTTGTAGTAGGGTTAATTTCTTATGCTTTCTTTTGCCTTTCTTTTCTTTCCTCTTCATTTTCCTTTTATTTGATTTTTTATTTTCTTTCCTTTTTTTCTTTATAAAAATCTTTCTTACCTTATACAGAAAATTTTCCAAAAACGGAAAATGAAGTGATGTTTCATAAATTGTAATTTTAAATAAAAATCATTTATTACCATCATTGTTAACTACCTGATGTGACATTGTTCATTAAACGTTGAAACAAAATGTACAATTTTGTAGAAGTAACTTCAAGAAATTTTCTAGTTTGTCATATTTTTCTAAATACTATTGATATATAAAATTATACAAAATTATATATTGTGTTTGTGTATGTGTGTGTGTATTTGGGCAGTAATCCTTCTTTTATACAGGTTTCATTTAATATTCAAATATCTCAGCTAAGAATAAGCAACAAGAGGTATATTCATAGCTTTAATTATGATTGGTACCAACGGAAAAGTTGGCTCTGTGGTTGTAAAGTGAAAAATGCATTGTTTTATTTCCCATGTTTACTGTTTGGAGGTGATTTAATGTGGACAAAAGATGGTTTTAGAAATATAAAGAAAATAAAATAAAAATAGAAGTCAAAGGAGCATATTGAAAACTTGTTTTCAATGTCACTTTTAGGAAATGTAAATATTAAGGTGAACCTTAATGCAGCATACAAACTTTCAATCAATGAGCTTAACATGAAGGTTAAAAAAACTGTGAAATTCTGTCCAAAATAATAGACTGTATTTTATTTTATGGAGACTTTGAAACTCCCTTTATTTGGACATGATGAATAAAATGCTTCAGTAAATCCAGGCATATTTAGAGGATTGATAAATTTTGCATCTAAATTAGATCCAGACTTGAAGAATCACTTAGAAACCTGTATGGTTTTCAAAGGTGTTTATAAGACCATTCAGAATGAGCTACTTGACTGCCTGCTACAAATATACTATAAGGAGATAAGGACAGAAATTAGGGGAGCTTCATTTGTAGCTATCATGGCTGATGACACAACAGATGTTTTGGAAAACACTCAAATGGTCATTGTTCTATGGTACCTGTTGAATCAAGAAATATTTGAGGGTTTTTTTTTGGGGGGGGGATTCTTTATTCCAGAAAATCAAGCTGCAGATAGCACAACAAAAACATTCTAGAAGAATTAAACATAATCCTTCAAGGAAATGGAAAAAAAAATGATAGCTCAGACATTTGATGGTGCAAATGTCATAAAAGGCAAAAAAAGAGGAGTTCAAGCAGAAATAAAAGCAGTTTATAGTAGTGCACATTTCATTCTCCATTATGCACATCTACTTAATTTAATAATGAGAAATGCAGCATTACATGGAATGCAACAATATTTTTTCAATATTCTTCTCAAGATCACCACACTGTGTATCCATTCTCAAGAAGCATATGGATGTCAGCATTCCACATCCATCCTCTACAAGGTGGAACTTTAACATACAGGCTGTGAACCGAGTTCATGAAAATTTGCAACCTTTAAAAAGCTGCCTTACTGAAATTTAGTCAACATCAAATACAGATCAAACCATTGCAGAAGCAACAAGAATTTTACAATACCTGAATGATGATAATTTCATATTTTTGTTTGAGCTTTTTCATCAGATTATGCCTCATGTTGAAGTAATTTACAACCAAATGCAATCTTGAGAAATTAGTGTGTTTAAAGTCAGTGAATATATAACATTTCAAAAATTGTTATTTTAGAAATGAAAAACTTGAAGTACTGTGAGAATCCTTCAAAGACCCTCATAGCAGAAACAAAGAAAGTGAGTGACTACATATGTGTTGATATTTATTCTTCCACTAAGCACTTAGTAGTTGCTAAATTGTTTAACAAGAAATGCTTTACTAGTTTTAAGAATGAACTGTCTACAGAATAGATAGTACTGACCACTGAAGTATATCCCATTATTAACAAAGAAAACTGAGCTAAAAGTATTCTATTGTAGAGCTGATATGCATGAATATTGCAAATTAATTGAGCTGCTGAAATTTATCTTGAAAAATAATCTAGATGTTGTTCTTAGTGAAATTATGAAACTGATAAAAATCCTCTTGACAATTCCCATGACCACATCAGATCCAGAAAAGTACTTTTCATTATTGAAAAGAATAAAAACTTTTCTAAGGAGCACTATGAATCCTGAAAGACTAAATACACTTGCAGTGATTTCAATGGAGAAAATTTTCCTCAAGTCATCCAGGGATCAAGGAGAAAATTATTAACGTTTTCACTCAAAGTAAAACAAAAATGGATTTCATTTTTGAATGAATGGATCAAGCTTGAACTGTAACAATTTTTTAAGTAAGTAAAAAATAATGTTTTTGTTTAGGATTTTATGAAGTTTATGTATAAATTTTCTTTTTTGTTTTGCACAATATTAAAATGATGGTTAAAAATTTTCTGAAGCAGCACCCCATTAATTTTAGCCACAAGATGCCACTGTATACTACTAACCTCTATCCACAACATGCTCATAGAAAACACCAATATAATACACTCGTCTAACTGTAGAAGGTGCTTAAAAATAATGGAAGCCTTAATAATAAAATACAAGAGACCAACTCTTAATAATATTAATTATGAACATAGCCACAATGTACTGACTGTGTTCAGGAATTAAAATATTTGTATTGCTAAAAGAAAAAATCTACATATTAAGGCAAACAAAAACAACCCTTGATAATGGCTAATAGATTAGTCAAAAGTTCTCATGTTTTTTATATTTTTTATTTAATATATTTTTTATTTATTACTTATTTTTTTATATTTTTATTATTTTTTCTTTTATATTTATATATATATATATATATATATATATATTTCATTAATAATAAACTCTATTATAATAATTGCTTTTTTTTTCTTCATTCTCTGTTCTTTAGATTGCTGCTGCTAGTCGGATTGCTGGAGTTACTCCTGCTGCTTTGGTTGCTTTATTAAGATTTGTGAAGAAAAATAAAAGTAAATCCAAAAGCAATTTATACTATCCACAAGACCATATAGTTTGATCAGAATAAAACTATAGAACAAGACTTTTTTTTTCCTTTCCTTTGAAGTGGATTATTGGAGAAATAGATCATTTTACTGTGGACAATTCATTTATGATTTTCTTATTTGTCACCATTTATAAGAATAATCATTCCTAAGGGAAAATTTTACATCTTTTTTTTAAACCAGAAAATAATTAATAAAGAAGATTACTTTATACAGCAACTGCAATGCCAAAAGCCTTTTGTGTTAAAAACAATAACCAGTTGAATTAATGTGTCTTATTAAATAAAAACAGTCAATAAATAGATGTAAATATTTCTTTATTGTTTTCCTTTTTGCATTTTTGTTTTCTTTCATATTTATTAATTCTATTTTCTTACTTTTTAAAGGAATAATTTTAGGTTCAACTTTGTATACTGTGCAACTTGTGGATGAGTTGTACAGTATACAATAGATACTATGTATATACTAGAGATTCATCCATGTTATACACACCAATTTATTATGTGTTATTCAAATTTTGAATGTAAATGTCTAAAATTTATTTTTTAATTTTTACAATTATTTCATTCAATTAATATCTTTTTTCATAATATACTATAAATTATACTATGGCTCTCTTAACTTTTGAAGTAATATGGAATTATTTTCTTTGTCTGAACCATGGTACCTTTATTTATTGGTCTTTAATTTCCACCTTTGACCTTTCAATAACAGGCTTTTTTGTATTGTTTGAACTTTGACACAAGATCATAATGATACTATATGTTATACTCTGCTTCAAATTAGATCTTTCTGATTTACTCCACATCAAAACCTGTTGCCAATGAGTGAAAATAGCCATCCCTTTGACACTCCATTTTTTTTGTGGGGACAAACATCCAAGTTTGCCATATAATTGTTGCACGTATTCAATATTAATAAGTCTTGTTTAAATAATGTTACTATTTTGAGAGGAATTTAGGGAAATAAACTAACTGCTTTTTTATTGTTTAACCTGATATTGAATTAAAAAGAATAAACAACTCATTTCTTTGGAGAATCTGTTTTTATGCTTTAATTTATTATATTTATTTTTTGATAACACTTTACTAATTTCTCTGTCTGTTTAAACAGATTATCAAAGTCTTGTTTGTGTTAAATTAAAAACAAACCCATTGAATAGCTTATCTGCTAGGATACCTAAAAAATATCTCAGCTTCTCCACTTTCTGCCCTGAGTCATCCAGGTCTTCACTGCATACCTACTTTCTGGTCATGAATTAACAAAAGCATTACTAACAGAATAAGGCAATATTAATATTGACTGGAATTTGAACTCATCTTGCTAATTTTATTGTGCTGATAACAGCTACATTACCTGTATATCCATTTTCAAATTACTAATACTAATCTTTTATTCAAACAAAAGCACAACTGAGACAAACTTTTTTCTATATAGTTACAAAAACAAAAAACAACTTGTCCTTCAAATAATATAGAATTCAGCTGAATATATATATATATATATATATATATATATATATATATATAGAGAGAGAGAGAGAGAGAGAGAGAGAGAGACTGTTTAAACATCTACTAGCGGAATACATTGCTAATGATTTTACTGTAGGCATTCATTGAAAATCAGGAAGAAAAGATCTGGCAGATATTGGAACACAAGGCAGGCATTACTGAAAGACAGGATAGTTATTATTATATTTGTAATTTCTGATATGAAAACTACAGATGTTTGCCAACAGAAGACAAATTAACAAATTTGTCATGACAAATTAAATCATAAATATTTCCAGTCAAGAGAACTCAAGTAACCATACATTTAATGAGATTCCATTTGACTATTTAGTAAAACATTGTTTTTTAATAAAAATTGACACAATTTTTTTATTTCTTATAAATGAGAAACAACAAAAAGAAGCAATAACTGGGTTGCAGGTAAATAAATATCATTCAATAAAGCTGCTTTCATAGATAAAGCCAAGTCAGCCACCAGTTTTGTTGTAGAGTTTCCAAGATGCTTTCATAGGAAATCTATTCCAAGCATAGACCACTCTTACAGAAGTGAATGGGAGATGTTTTCTATTGCAAGAAAGCCATGAGATGAAATGGACTCTCTTTAAAACAGATAAAGGCTTACTGAATAGATGGAAGCAATAGAAAAATCAATAATCACAGTATCAAGAAAATATATACATACACATATGTCAAATGCTGAAACATTGTTATATTATCTTTTACATTTTTCTGTTGAGGATGATAGTCACTAAAATATCTAGTGGAACTTTTTAACTACAGGCTGTGGCATGTGACAAGGGGATGCTCAGAGCGAATACAGAATGAGTTTCAGAATGTTGGTGATCATGAAACTCCAGGGTTTCCTTTTTCTTTATTATCTGTAAATTACTATGCATTTATGGGAAAGATAGCAGAGTGGTTTCCTGTTGCTTTTTCTCCAATTTAGAATTCAGATTTTTCCTTCTCTAGTTGCCACCCAAGACTAGAAAGACGTAAGGGCATTTGTGCAAAAGTGAATGCAACGGCCTAGACTGGAATTTGAACTCATCTTGCCAATTTCACTGTCTGTGCTGATAACAGCTACATTACCTGTATATCCATTTTCAGATTACTGATGTTTTATTCAAACAAAAGCACAACTTAAACAAACTTTTTTCTATATATTTACAAAAACAACTTGTCCTTCAAATAATATAGAATTCAGCTGGTGCCTCTTACTCTGTAACCTCCTGCCTCAAGTTGCTCTTGGGCCTTCTACAGGGTGAGCATCATTATAAAAAAAATTTCATCTGCTCTGATTCTCAATCTACAATAGTACATCATAAATAAAAAATAAGTTCTAAGCGAGAGTCAAACTTGCATCCTTTTTAACATGGAAAGCCTTTTCTATATATGAAAGCTGTTCTATTTTCAAGCAGCTAGTAATTGCAGATCAAATAAAACAATTTGAACATACTGTATTTGGTATTATTGTTTTTACATATATTAATAGTATTATCTTGTTTTTTTTTGTAGAGGACATGCCAACATTTGTTTATTTTTGGCTTGTACTTCTTTCATCTTAATTGTAGTACTTTTTCATCACAACTACTCAGACTATTAGTCAATGGCTATTATTAAACTAGTAGCTTAAAGACTGACAGTTTCAGTAATTGCAATGAAAAGCAACTGAAATTAAGATGAAAGAAATATTAGTCAAAAATTAATAAAGTATTCCTTTTTGTCAAAGAAAGAATAGAATCATCTTATGAGGCATTTCTGTCAGATATTGAGTTGAATGTTTGGAGCATTTGAGGGCATATAGAAAACAAATGATCTTAATATCTTCTTTACCCTTGCTAAGTAAATCCCAAGCAGAAATTAGTTACATCATATTGTTGTTATAGAAATAATAGGCTTACATTATACTTTCCAAAATTCACTTTCCAACCCTTTTTTTTTGTTTTAGAATAAATTTCAATTTCACATTATAAAATTTTGAATCTAAATTATTTCAATACAATATGGTGACTTAAATTATTTTTTATTATTTCATTATATTCACATTATATATAAATGCCAGAATAAAGTAAACAGTTGAAAACAGAAATCAGATCACCTAATTTAAACCTATCTTATATATGCAAAATACCTTTCCCTCTAGTCATATTTTTAATCTTATTAACATAATCGTAAGATCCTATGTGTTTCATCCTTCAAAAGGACACTCTTCAGACTAAATGACATTTTTATTGATGGGATCATTTATATGTAAGTGGAAGGAACAAAATATAACAAATGTCTGTTATAGTTATATATCAAGAAAAACACTGAAAATGCAAGGACACATAACTTTAAATTTTAAATTTCTGGCATCTGATGTGTCAAGATGTACAATCTAGTTTATGATTATTAAGGCAAAAATGTATAGAAAGTGCACTAATTTCTGAGTTTTCCACGGTAAATTTACATCCAGGATCATATAGCATATCACCTTAACAAAGCTGCTGCTATTACGATGCGGGACATTTGAAAATAACGGCAATAAAAACAAAAGTGATAAAGAGCTGAATGAGGTCAGGTAGATTGTGCATCAAGCAACATTGGGCACAGTGAATTTAAAATTTAAAGCTAAGCATCCCTACATTTTCAGTATTTCTCTTGAACTATAACTGACAATTTTTTTTTAATTTAATTCACTCCTCCTACATATACAGGGTGTGATGGGTAAATTGTTGCCATTTTATAATTTTAATTTTGCTCGTATGTTGGTTGTTTTTGATTTTGTTGACTGCACAGTATAGTAGGGTCTATTGGGCACTGGCTGTGAGAAAAAGAGCAACATGATGCAGTTCACTACACCAGAAATTTGGAAACGGCATACTGTACTGCCTCTTCATTCATACTGGAAGCTCCAATACAAACATTTCAGGGCATTTAGGTGTGAATCTGAGGACAGTGCAGAGGATTTGGAAAGAGCTGCACAATATATCCAGTCAACATCATGGTGTTTGGAGTGATCACTAGTGATGGCAACATTATGCCTCCATTCATCTTTCCACAGGGCCTCAGACTCAACACACAGACCAACATCAAGTGCCTTTAGGAGGTATTGCTGCTCTGGGTCAAGAGGGTGGCTGCTTGAAGACCCTATGTCTGGCAATAGTACTCTATACAATGCAAAACAAGCAGGAGAACCCAGTCATGGCTGTCAGACAATTTTTATGACCACATCACCTCTTACATCTGGCCACCTAACTCCCCTGACTTTGCCCCCTTGATTATTATGTGTGGGGCATAGTTGAGCAAGATACCAAAGATGAACTAAAGACAAGGATTATGGTAACATTCACCAACTTAAAAAGGAGACTGTCCAGAATATTTGCAGGAGATTCCAAAGTTGTCTAGATGCCGTGGTTAAAGCCAATGGCAATTTTATTAAATAAATTTATTCTTAAGTATTTCAAGATAAATATATCTGTTAAAATGAGATGTCAGTGTTATTTTCATTTTTGTGTAATTTA